ATATTTGTGGGACTTCGTTCAGGGCTGCTGGAAAAGCCTCCCAGGAGGCCACCTCATGGAACTGGAGTAGCAGAGAAAGGAGAGTCATTCAGTCCCAGGAGCCTTTGGGGTTAAGGGCCTCGTTCAAGGGCCCAGTTGTGGCATCACTCTACTGTTGTATTATTTTATATTATTTACTTATGTTATATGTTATTTTATAGTTTTGATGTTTTTGTAATTATTCTAAAATGTAGAGAATAGTAACTTTTCTAGAAGTAAACTTTTCTATGGGTGGGTTTATCCAAACTATTTATTAGAAACGAAACATTAGAAAATCCCTCACAACACATGACTGCTATATTACTGATGTCTGTACAGAGCTCACTGCAGAGCTGACATTTCCCTTAATTAGGACCTTAATTTCCAGTTTGAGTGAGGTTGAATCCCTTTTGTTTTTGAGTGCTTTTATATATGAGTTGGGGTAGGACTGACTCTGAGGCTCAAATTTCTCATTGGCCAGTAAAAAAAAAGGCAGACAGTAAATTGAAATTGGACTGTGGAAGAGATGGAGAGGAGGCGCACAGCGAGGGCAGCCAGACTTAACTTTCCATCTCCATGCAGCTGTGCAGAACAGATTGCCAAACGTCTGTCAGCGTGGAGCACAGCAGCTGAAGAGAATATGCATATTTTCCTATCAAATTCTTTTTTTTGGGTAATTCCAACATGTCAAGTGTCCCAACAACGTGGGTCGTCCCAGAAAGGTAACGGAGGCAAGTACCATCGGGGACTAGGAGATAAACTATTTTTAGAAGGGGAGAGATTAATTATGTTGAATGTACTTCTGCCACCACAGTGTGTTTCCAAGTGTATTTACAGGGCTGATTACTGTTAAACCACCAATGAAAGTGTGGGATTCTTGCTTGTTCGTTTCTGTTGACCTTGCTGCATTTCGCTGCCATATATTTGGGCTTGTTTATGTGGCATTATGTAGTGTAGTGTTTTCTTTGTTTGAGGTTTAAATAAATCAATGTGTGTGGTATTACAGCGCCACCTCTGGAACATAGAAACTGTCTCCTCATTAGTCAAAAAACCTTTTTCAGCACCACAAACAGCAGCCAGCTGTCACATTTTCAGCACCTCTGTTTTTGACTAACTGTCAAAAACTGCTCCACCCCTAATCCTCCATTCCAGCATTCTGGCAACACCTCTGGCTGGCTCATTTATTCAAGAGGATCTGGCTACAGAACACTGGGTGACCCTAACTAGGAGAATCTCCACTGTGGGGCTGGAAATCACATGACCTCCACTACTGGCCCGGACATGATGCTACTGAAGAGAACTCAGTAGGCTGCAGAGGTCACTCAGATCACAGAACGCAGGTTTCACTTGTCACTCCACATATGATTTGCCAGCCAATGTTTGAGATGCCGAACCAGGTCTCAGTCTTTAAATCTTAACTGAAGACCTATTACTTCAGCTTAGCTTGCCTACAACCTAGCACATAACACACCGTAACTATGACTTCAAGACTTCAAGACTTTAAGACTTTTTATTGTCATTGTACAGTTGCCTGGACAACGGAATTAGCTAGCAAGACCACAAAGATGCAAGAAAGTGTCAGTACAAGATATAAGAATAATAAACACAGTATATACAATGTATAGGTACAAGAGACATTGGGGGTATATGCAAGGGTGTCATAAATATAATAAATAAGGGGGAAGGGCTTTAGTCATAGATAAGTGACACTATTGGGTAGGTTGGTAATTTACATTTGGCAAGATATTGCACAGAGCCATAGTCAGTAGCAGCAGTGACATGACTGTATGGAAGAAATCTGCACACACACGTGCACACGCACACACACACACCCACACACACATACATACTTATGGTCACCATAAGTTTAAAAAGATAGCAGTGAGGGGAGGATTGAAGGAGTGATGTTAGTGATCTGGTGCATTAAGAGTTCTGACTGCCCACGGGTAGAAGCTATTCTTTACTCTGTTGGTTTTGCACCTGATGGATCTGAACCTTTTACCAGAGGGCAATATGTTGAATAGGTGGTGGTTAGGATGGAGGTGGTCTTTTATGATCGCCCTGGCTCTGGAGAGACACCTAGAGGTGGCAATGGAGTCCAGGGAGGGGAGTGGACAGCCGATCACCTTCTCTGCTTCTATCTGTCAGTATGTGCCCTGTGATGGCCAGACATTCTGTCTAGTTGGGGTGAGCTGAATATCCAGCTGAAAAGAATATTAGGCTTGAATAATCTGTTTTCTAAAGCCAACTGTCATCCGGTCATTAACGATGAATATCTGTGCCCGGCTTCAACTTTTCATTGAATTTTAGGGAAGCAATGATGCTCATTGGCCTACTGCACATATTGTCCTGTTCATATAATATTCTCTTTGCGTGCTCCGCAAATGTTATTGTGGAGAACCCACCAGCCCTGCTCTGCAAATTTGCAAAATACCAAAGTTGCAAAATACCACAATAGCATTACTTTTGAAAATGTCATAGAATAATGGCTGGACAGTATGATGGTATGAAAAAAATGAAAAATCAAGACCACCAAATCCTAGTTTTATCTGTATTACATGCAAAAACAATGCATTACATGTACAAACTATGTTCTGTTGTGTGGTTTGTTATGCTTAAATGGCTTATTTATAATTTTATAACCCCTTGGTGCCTGTTAAAAGCTCTCTGTTTTTTTCGACCTAATATGCTTAGTTTTGCTAACTAGACTGAAATGTGTCCTAGGGCTTTTCCGCAAGCTACTTTTAATTGGTGCTTGGTGAGCAGCCTTGCCCTCCATCTCTCTCTGACACACACACACTCCCACACACACCACTACAACCTACTAGTAATTTTGTTCAGCTATAAGGTAACAATCCAAAAAGTATACTGCCTATAAATAGTATTCAACCCCTTGGACATTTTCCCCTTTTACTGCTGTAATTCATGGAATTATGGTCAATATAATTTTCCTTTTTTGACAAGAATTGACAAAAAATCTTCTTTAATGTCATAGTGGAAACAGACTAATGTCCATTAATGAAAAATGTATAATGACAAATAAGTGATTGCATAAATATTCACCCCCTTCAACTTAGTATTTAGTCGATCACAGCACTGAGTCTGTATGGGGCACGTCTCAATCAGGCTTGCACCTCTAGACACTGGATTTTTACTCCACTCTTTGCAAAACTGCTCAAGCTCTGTCAAGGTGCATGGGGATTGGGCGTGCACAGCCCTTTTCAAGTCAGTGAATCAGATTGTCCTCCAGGATTGCTGTACATTTTGCTGCATTCCATGTACCTTCTACCTTTACAAGCCTTCCAGGGCCTGATGCTGAGAAGCATCCCCACAGCATGATGGGGTCTTTGTGGTGATGTGCAGTGTTTGGTGTTCGCCAAACATAGCGTCTAGTCTGATGGCCAAAAAGCTCCACTTTGGTCTCATTGGATCAAAGAACCTTCTTCCAGTTGACCTTGTGATCCCTCACATGCCTTTGGACAAACTGTAGTTGAGCTTTAATATGAGATTTGTTCACTCCTGGCTTTCTCTTTGCCACTCTCCATATATCGTTGACTGGTGAAGAACCTGGGCAACAGTTGTTGTACAGTATGCAGAGTCTCTCCCATGTCAGCTGCTGAAGCTTCGTGAAGCTTCTCCTTCACAGAAGCTTCACGTGTCTTGCTGGCCTCCCTCACTAGTCTCCTTCTTGCACGGCCACTTGTGAGCACGGCCTGCTCTGGGCAGATCTGCATAGGTGCCATATTCCTTCCATTTCTTCATGATGGATTTAACTGGACTCCTGGCGCTGCTCATTGACTTGGAAATGTTTTGGACCCATCCCCTGACTTACACTTTTCAGTAACCTTTTCTCTGAGTTGCTGGGAGTGGTCTTTTGTCTTTATGGTGTATTCGTACCCAGGAATACTGATTAACCAGTGACTGAACCTTCCGGGCTCAGATGTCTTTATACTACAATCGCTTGAGACACAGTCATGTGATCTCTATTCCACTAATTCTGAGACCCTCCCCACCCATACAGAAAAACATTCCCGCACTCGTTCACTCCCACTATCGAGGTTATCACCTACCTGGGGCCTCGTGTGACTTAGACAGGCTTTACCCTCAATGTGAACAAAGACTGGATGAATGCTTGTAAATAGAAGATATCTGGATTCAAATGAACAAAATGAAGGCCATTTTCATTTGACATGTCACTTGTGTTTAATTCATTGATATGTAATACTACACAGAACAATAATGTTAAATACTGGTATGGAAATGTTCACATAATAATAATAATAATAATAATAATAATAATAATAATAATAATAATGAACCTCCATATGTTAAAAAGCATACATTTCTTTTCATAAATAAATTAAAATAACAATGGCAATAAATATAAGTTCTATAAAATGAATCAATTAAGGCATACTCTAATTTAGCAAACTTATTCAGAGCTGTGAGCAAATGTGATTTTGAGATCTCAATAAAAATGATACATTAATTGGCATTTATCCCTTTATGGTTTTTTTAAACAGAGCAAAGTCATTGTGTTGAGGAGACCTGGTGGTGAAATCCTAGGTAACCAAAATTTATTACACTGTAAACTGACCCAAAGAAAGAAATCCCAGCCATCAAGAAAGAACAGTACAGAATGTGCTTGTATACTCTTATCAATCAAAGAATCAGACATAACAATATAGATCTGCCAGAGAGAGAGAACTTTAAGGAGAAAATAAAACAATAATTTATTCTCAGTTCTCTCAAATCCAGTCCTAAATTTTCTATGACCACACAAAGTTACAGAGCAGGGATTTAAAAGAACATGTATTAGATATAATTCACTGTGAATGGAACTTTCAAAATAGGTTCATTTTCTCCCCAATCATGTGCATTAGAAAGTCAATGCATGCCACTCAGATCAAGAAAATGAAGGCGCGTAGACAGTAATAGACTTACAGAATATGAATTCTGAACATTTTCCATATACCATCATTAATGATAAAGGAATGAACAGCAGTTTTGTTTGAAGACAACCACTAGAAAACATACTGCTTTAAGAAAACACACCCCAAATGAAAAGCAGAGCAGCACAGTTATCTATTCTCACTAAACTTCCCGGTTTCAGTTGGGATAATTGACTCAGGGGCAAAATTCAGGGGGCTCCAAAGAATAATCTTCCAATCCCATAATATGCCCAGGCAGGGTGGGAAGGAAGCAGGTTTAAAGGGAAAGGACATATATTGCAAACTGCTCTATCATTCATTGAGTTTTAGGCACAGGTCAACCAGCAAGAAGAGATTTCCATCTGATACATAAAATTCCACTTGCTGGAACGTTCCTCAATTACTGTTAATTGGCATGTAAAGATGTTGGCATGTGCATGTGTGTATTTTCAGTGAGAATCCAGACAGAACATACTGACAGTCATGCAAAGGTGATCAGCTTCACAGGGTTTAGAAGCAAGTGCTTGTCAGGCTTCTGCACATGGAAAAGTCAAAACTATTGAAAACAAAACTCTCAAATTCTGGGTTTAAACAGTATAACATTATGACCCTCTGCATTACAACTATCTGTCAGGGTAACTGGATTAACACTTCTAAAGAAATGAACAAACATCTTCAAAAATATGAAAAGCAACAGATCTAAAGATGTTTTACTACTTGAACTTCTGAAATGCTGCAAATGAGGCACAGTAAAACCATATCTCAACAATATTTTTTACATTTTGAAAACTGCAATAATTGCTTGTTCTGTCTTTTATAATTGCCACATAGTGGAACATTCCAGAAATAATAACATATCAAAACAAACATTATCAGTGAAATTAATACTGAAATGTAAGCTGCAAAGCTACATAACTTAAAATAAAAAAATATCACATTCAACTCTCCCAAGTTGGCAAAGTGTAATTTCACACCTCATTTAGTCATCTCGCTCCATTTACAGATTTAGATATGTTCTTACTATTCCCCTAAATACCTTTTGATAGCCTGATAATAGTGTCCACTTTTGGGAAAACCCAGAAGAAATCTTTGACTAAATGAATATAAAATGTCCTTCCACTGATTCCTTTTGCAGTTTATCTGAACCAAATGCAGTGGCGTTTAAGAGACAGAAATAATGAGAAAGCAGAATTTTTTTTCCACAAGAACATGCTAGTTTTGAGGTCTACAGCTCCTTTCCCATCTGGATTAATTAGTAATATATTTAGCCTAATAAATGTGCCAATAATTGTTACCCATGGTTTCATACAAAAGCCTGAAAAAAGCATTTTTTTCACGCCATAAAACCTGTTCCCATAATGGGAAGAGGAAGAAATAAACAAACATGCCACAGATGAATACCCCATGGCAGAGTGAGGCAAAAGGAGATAAACATTAAAAAAGAGAATGAAAGGATGTTGTAAAACCTTTCCGTGTCTTGAAGGCCCACCAATGTCTGCATAGCTCATTAGTACACCTGCCTGAAACGTCTGAAATCTGTGAATTCACCTTCAAAAGCACACTGTTCCTGTGTGTTTATGCCCAAAACACACTGCAATGAAACGGAACTGATGTAGCGTTAATGCACCAGAACAAGCAAACAATTAAATGAAACGGTGCTGGATTGCACTTGAATCAAGCATATGTCATCTTCTGCTCAGTATGGGTTTTAGTAATGGTAGAGCATTAAAAGTTAATAGAATGCTAAACCGCAGTTTGGAAGTATACAATTTTGGACCCATTTTGGGGATGGGTCCAAAATTCAGGGGAAGAGGCGGTACACCATAGTGGCTCTAGGCCTCAGGGGAGCAAATTAGCTGAACAGATGACTTTGCAGAACAGCCCTGGGCACCTGAGCAATGAAAAGTCCACATTCTAAGCAGCTATCTTGCCATTGTTTGGCTGACGGGCATTTGGGTACCTGTTGGGACTTCTTTCAGTGGCACATCAGACTCCAGTCAAGGTGATGTCAGTCATTTACAGTCACAAAGTTCTGCTCTGTCAGTCAACGCTAAAGTGCTTCAGAAATGTTGTTATTCCAACAACATAAAGTTTCACCAAAAAAACAAAACCAAATCACTGATATTTACAGAACTGGTGAGGACAATGTGTACTGTAAATGATACTATAGCATGCAATGTTGTATAGAACTTAACAGAAATTACAGCAAATCCTTGCTCTGCATCCGTAATTTTTTTTACTGTCAGTCACCTTTTATATTTGAGATGCCAAATTTATTCTTTAATTTATTTATTCTTATTCCAAAGTGTTTCTCTAAATGACAGAGTGAGAAGGGGGTACTGGAAGGATAGCATGAAAGCACCTGTGAAACAGAAAGGAAGTCCAGGATGTCTCAGTCTGTTCACCTCAAAACTATTACTCACAGTTGACAAAAATACACGAAGCAAAGGACGTTTAAATAAAAAATAGAATACAAACAATAAAAGTGTCTGTCAGACTGTAGACGAGTGCAACTCCCAAGCATTTGCTACAGTACTACCTTTAGTGTCAAAAAGAATTGAGTTCACAGTACTACCCAAAAATCCCACAGGGGATATGAAGACCTCACTATCTTTCAGAATCTTTTACATACACTCCATGCTCTACTGTCGCATCCAGGATTTTTCTAAATCATTTTCCCAGTCAGGTACACTCACTGCACCATCTTCACTGTATCAGGGGAAGAGAATGAACCCAAATCCAATCAGTGTTGTTAACCCATCACCAAATCAGTAGTTGCTCTGGGAGAGAAAAAAAAAATTTAGTTTTTATCTTTTGCCATAAGCAGCCAGAACTGTGTTTTTTTTTCCCCACAAGTTCCCAAACTGCTGGACGGAGATAAGAACCATGTCCTACCATAGGAGGAAGCAACGGCTGTTTGTCTACCTTTCTGTTTTTTTATGTTTCTCCTTTTTACTGAACTATATTCCTTTCTTAATATTATTTAACGTTTAACTCTTGCTCTGCTGCAGTTCTACTGGTAAACTCACTGCAGACAGAGGTGCAGTGGGCAGGGATAATGCAGGTTACTGGATCTGACAAGCGGCAGAGGAGGATCCCTGGCAACACATGCAGGTGGGGTTAACGGATTTGGGGGGGATGAGGTCCAGGTCCTCGTCGTCAGGGATCTCGTCTAGTCGGTAGCCGTCCTTCAGGAGCTGTATATTCAGGTCCTGGTTGATCTGCTGCAGGGAAGCACAGCAAACACAACTGTTACCTTAGTGGTCGACAGTGTTTGCATAATTTATACATGAACAAAAAGCCTTGATGGCTACATTTAGTTAAATGTTATTAATGGCATTTCAGTTCTAGTAGCGCTGCTAGTCCAAGTAGTAGCTGTAGCAGCAGTGTGAGCATTAGTCATATTAGTACTGGTAATGGTAGTATCAGGTATGATATTGATGAGTAGTAGCACAGAGTGATGATAGTATTATTCACAATGTCAGTAACAGTACTAGTATGAGTGCTAGTAATACCCGTAGTACTGGTACTGGTAACAGTAGTAATAAGTAAAAGAATAAATAAAAGCAGCAATGTTACTAAAATAAATAAGAATTTTTTTTCTGCATTGAACCTCTAGACATTATCAGGGGGACAGAAAATGGATGGAGAGTGGAATGTGGTCTTGGTGAAAAGCATACAAATATAAAATATGTAAAATGACATATGGCACTAGACAGATGAGGTGATGTTTGTGCTAAAGCCATGGCAGTAAGCTTGGATGAGTGTGGTGATGTCACAGTGTGATTAGCGGTAGTGTACAGACTTATGGCCCCTCAGGTATCTCACCTCAGCAGAGGAGTATCCTGAAGAAGAGTATCTGGACATGTCAAAGTCATCGTCACTGAATAAAAAACAAAGACAGACAAGTCAGGCAACAGGGTTCCAGCTCTCCCCACAGCAGATAATTAGAATGAAACCTTCTAATCTACTAGACCAGAACTCTATCACTATCTTTCATTTCTGTACTGTCTGCTAGATTAGTACTTTCCTTGGATTGTTAGCATATATTAGTGTAAAATAATGCGATAATGCATCATGTGTGTCATGTACCCTGGATTTGGATGAAACGAGGCCTTGTAAAATGGTCTCATCATGGGTTACTATGGGTTTAACTGTACAGGTTAGTTTAAACCACAGGTGTCAGACTCCAGTCCTGGGGGGCCAGAGCCCTGCACATTTTTGGGTTTCCCCTCGTTTAACACACCTGATTCAACTCCTTGTGCTAATTACCACATAGCAGTTGAGCTGAATCATTTGTGGTGGAACAGGGAAAGAACTAAGCTACACAGGGCTCCGGCCCCTCAGGACTGCAGTTTGACACCCCTGGTTTAAACCAACTGAAACCAAGAATAATCTAAAGCAAACAGGTTCAACCATTTGCGGTTAACAGCATACTGGTTGCTTTCCACTCTGCAGCTTTGCAACTTACATGCCATTATACCAGGGTAATACCATTATTTGACAATGCACACTCAGGTCCACACCAATGTAAACCTTTTATCCAAATATCTTCCCTGAAATTCAGTTCAGTTTTCAATCAGGCCCTCAATGGGGTTAGACAAGAAGAAGATTATTGGGTGGATGTCAATTTGGACCAAAAAAACTGTGCTGCACTAAAGAATGGCACAGGATCTTTTCTGAAATGGCACCGGAAGAATTTAAGTTACAGTTTAACACTCTACTAGGTCTACTTTCTTCAAACTGAATCCTCCTGTCCAAACTGACAAAGTGCTTCTTGCAGGAAAAGTTTTTAAAAAATTGCATTATAGACCCTGTGACTCCTATCTACTCACTGTCAGGTTCACAATACCTGTCTGTGTCCAGAGCTACCAGAGGCTTTTCATCTGGGCTTTGATCTAGTGAGGAGTATCCTTTATTAGGGACAACCAGTCTGGGAAATGAGAGAGAGAGAGAGGGTTGGCATGAGAGAAAGCATGAAAAGAACACTTTTTTGGAACTCAGGAAAACAATGTATAGAAAGTTCTTTATACTTCTATTTCTCTCTAACAGATAGACAGATCTTGATGAGGCACTGAGTAATTAAGAATATACCCTAACAAACAGGCACAAATAATAATATCCCCACCATCCTCCAAAAAGGAAAAAAGCAGGCAGGGATGCACCTGCAGCTACACTTCGGGAAATTAAACATTTCAACTAAATTTAACATAATTTATGTACAACAATTTGGTAGTAGGACCCACTTTTGGCTTCAGAACCAGTGATTGAAATGGGCTGGAGTTCAACAGCACACAGTACCAGCACCTCTTTGCTTTTCTCCTCCGAGTACCAGGACTTCTCAATATCTGGTGATACTGAATAACAAAAGGAGTACTGGTACCTGGTACTCAGTAACAAGGCAAGTCCCAGCACCTGGTAGTGAATAACAAGGCAAGTCCCAGCGCCGGGTAGTGAATAACAAGGCAAGTCCCAGCGCCGAGTAGTGAATAACAAGGCAAGTACCAGCGCCCGGTAGTGAATAACAAGGCAAGTATCAGCGCCTGGTAGTGAATAACAATGCAAGTACCAGCGCCTGGTAGTGAATAACAAGGCAAGTCCCAGCACCTGCTTTCCCCTACTTCAAGCACGGTACAGAACTGCTTCAAAAGTAGATAAGCTGTGTGTCCCAAGAAGCCTTTCTGTGCACCACTGTTGTTCTGAGCTGTTATTTTTGCACTTGTGGCACAAAATATGGTACTTATGGTAAGTCTTGGATTCTAAAAATCTCAAAATATTTGAATAATTGCCTTATACAAACATGCAGCAACCTTTTTTTAATTCACTTAGTATTTGTTGAACTCACCTTTTAACAGAACTTGTTTGGGAAGTAAATTCCTCATGAAGTTAATTCAGAGTTTTGGGAACTGAAGCATTGTTGTTCTAGCCATTCAACAAGATATGAGTGACATTTTGGAGGACACAAGAAATTCCTGTACTTTTTATTATATTCCTGTTTATTTGTATATATTCTAATGCTAAAATGGCCAGGTGTTGCCTTTCAAGTACAAATGGCGGCACAGTGGTTAGCAGTGTTGTCTCACACTTACCTATTGTCAGACTTTTCTACCAGAAAGGCTTGATTTGCGTATTATATGATAATACATCTCATTTGCATTGACCATTTATGGTTATATCTGGGCTGCAACTGGGCGGGATTTCAGGCTCTTGCACGTATGCAGATTTACAAGATAGTTCCAACATTAGAGAGGAATTGTGCGTATGCCAGGTTTTATAAACCCAAATTGTTTTTTTTCTTGTTGTGCATAAATATTTCTTCGTGATGAAGTTTGATAAATCAGGTCCCTGGTCATATACATTGACAGCTTTCCTATATGCATTATAGCCTCCAATTTAAAACACAATTTCTGCATTATGAAACATAATATCACATTAAAAATAAGTTTAAAAGTTGTAATATATTTTTGTGAGCACGCCCATACAGCTTAGCCCCTAGGCTGACCTTGTCCGGGCCATGACATTGTTCTTCTTGGGCTGCTGATTAACTGGACTTCCCACGTTGCCGTTCTTCACTGAGCCCTTCCTGGCCAGCTCCCTCTGCTTTTCTGCCAATCCCAAGACAAACATGCTGTTAAACCCTGACAGGCAGACATGACTGAACCCCACCACAAACAGAGACATAGTAATTAACATTCTCCAGACAGGTGTGGCACTAAACCCCAGAAACATCACACTTGACCCAAATCCTTTAATTACCCATCACTGGAAGGCAAACAGTACACTTCACTGAATAAAATTACAGTAATAATTTCCTCCCCCACCCCCCCAGTTTTAGACATATTGGCAATACTGTACATAGCACAACATATGAGAATGATGTAACAGCTTTTTTCTCTTAAGATAATTCATCAAGTGAACATTTCAGTTTTTAATTTTTGAAGCTTATTTTATCTGTTAAATATAAACCAGGTCAAGCAAAGTAGCACTGAATTTAGAGCAACAAAGCATCTAAAGTAAACTTATATGATAATGTACCTAATGTAAAAAAAAAAAAAAAAAAAAAAAAAAAAAAAGTTATTTCTGGTGTTGAAAACCTTGAGGGCTGGCACAGTGGTTTGAGTCCCCACCCTGGCTGTGTGTGTGTGTGTGTGTGTGTGTGTGTGCGCATGTCATGGGGTTTCCTCCAAGTTCTCCAGTAAACCCCCCCCCAGTCCACAAACAAATTAAGGTGAATTGGAGTTGCAAAGTTGCTCATAGGTGTGTGTGCGTGTGTGTGTGTCTCCATCCAGCAATGGGTTAATGCCCCTTCCTGGGTTACTCTGTTCCTTGTGCCCACAGCTTACAGGACAGGTTCAGGACCCCCACAACGCTGCATAGGATAAGCGCGTACAGAAGATGGATGATGGAAAGCCTTGGTCCTCAGGCTTGTGGTTTCAAAGGGGAAAAACAGCAGCAGCAACTGTGTTCTACTTAGGGGGCGGTTAATTCGAAATGCAGAAAGAGCAGATTTATAAGTGATGGATTTCCCTGTCTTTCATTTCTAAATGGTACCAGCCAGAGATCTCAGAAGCAAAACGACTTTCCTTGCTTTTCCTCATTAGCGTCTTTCACTTTCTCATCGCACCATCCATGGTGAAGCGGATTGTTCAATTTCATGTGCCAGTTACTGTCATGGATAATTCAATGGAAAGAGCCCCCAATTATCCTGGGTGTGTATGGAACGAACTGTTCAATCCCCATTCATATATAAACCCACCAGCAGACCAGCATGGTAATAATATATATGGGATTCCTCCAGGTACTATGGTTGTGGTTAAGTGACGTCTCCAGATAACAGACTTTATGCATGTTTGTGAAGGACTGGCATCCCTGTCATCTGCGCTATGCTGCCAGGGATAGACTCTAGGCTCATCACAACCCTGAACTGCGTATGTGTTTGCAAGATGGCTTGATGCATTATTAACTGCGTGACGCTGTGTCCTACTGCGTGACGATGGGTCCAGATAGAACTGAATACATACATGGAGACAAAGTGAATGTTTACTGCAAAGATTTTAATTCGCCAAAGCAAATTCAGAAAGACTTTCAAAATGTGTTAAAAACAGGCATTAAAAATCTGACGACTCTCAAGGATTCTTTGCTCTGCGGACATGCGGAATCATGCCTGTTTAATATCCTACACATCTCATCTGAGATGCCTGCAGACTGTTAGTCTGTATTTGAATCTATATCTAACGAAGGCATGAGACCATACATGTGGGCAAAAAGCCAGGTAGTAAAACTAAGGATTTGACCCCCCCCTGAAATATTTGGCTGGCAAAATGTACCAAGGGGATCCCATACTGGACACCGCATGAAATTAAATCAATTTGCATTATGATTTTGCAGCTGCACCTCTTGGTCATCCTACGGTGAAGCCCGGCCTTCTGACATCCAGAAAGTAACTGCTATCTGTGTAGCATGGAGCCTGGAGTTGATTGGTTAGTAATTAGATGTCTGTAAACTAGTAGTCAACTTGCCTAGTCTACATATACATGTGTGATAAACAGATTGTTAGGAAATGCGGATCTATACATTTTCTAACTTGCTCTAAATGTGCTTAGGCCCCCTAAAAATAAGATTTTCTCACACCCCTACCTCACACTGTTCAAAACTTGGTTTTCTTATTTAGTTACTTTCATCAGACTTTGCAACCGGAAAAGCTTTATCTGCACAATATATGAGGATGCAGCTCATTTGCAAATGTGTCCGATAAACCACGTTCCCCAGGCAGGTATGGCAATAAACCAAAGTCATACCGCCAAATAGAAAACATGCAGTAACTCTACCTATACTTAATGCTAATTATAAATAATTTTTTAAAATTTGGGAGGGTGGGGGGGGTTGATCACATGGCCTGAAACTAAGAGACAAATTGCATCTTTATATGTTTACTATATATACATGGGATTAGCCACAATCAACAAGGACAGTATTTACAAATCAAAGTATATTTTTAACAGTAGGATCTTTCAATTAGAGGTTGATTCTCCATAGTGCTTAAGATAAAAAAGGTTGCTTCACATTTTGACCTAAGCATATTCTCCCATCGACTTAAATCTGGGCTTTAAGTGTGCTTAGGTGATTTACGCGCTTTGGGCACAGAAACACCAAAATATGGGCATATCGCATGTGAATGACCCTTAAGCGCATTCTGCCACTGACTTAAATGCACTTAAATGCATTTTTCACTATGTGCTCTGGATGGCTGTATTAAGTCACATGTAAATAATTCATATAATTATATACATTCAATGTAATAGTATATTGAAATATATAATTATATACAAAGTATATCAGCATTAGGCAGGATTCAAGGGCCATCAGCCTTGTCAATTTGCCTAGTAGGCGAATCAACTGGGCTAAACGAATGATGAAAAAAATTATTTCAATTAAAATGAGTAAAAAAACAGATTCAGTAGTAATGTGTACTCGCAATCCAAAGCCGCAGTGCATGTACTTGCACTACTGTGAGAGACTGGGACAGACAGAGATGCACACGTTTTGATGGGCTTCAACTCCCCTTGAAATATTATATCGACAAAAGTAGAGATGCACCGATTGCAAATTTCTTGGCCGATTCCGATTTCCGATATTACAGTAAGTGTGACCTGCCGATTCCGATTTTTGCCGGTTCCGATTTTTTTATAGAACTGTAATGAAAGCATATGACATTCATTTAAATTTATTTTATAATAAAATAAATTATTAAACATGACAGGATCTTCTCACAACAAAATAAAAATATAAAATAAAGTGTGTTGTAAAGTATAAAATAAATTCCGGCGCGCTAGCTTTAGCCACTTTCCCCTTTTCAAACTGGGCATATTCAGCTAAATGATAGCGTTTTAAGTGTCTTATTAGGTTTGTTCTTCCGAACGTTTTTGAGCTTGTTCCCCCACGATGTATTTCTGCTTTACAAACGTTACAAACTGCGATCTTTGTGTCATCTCCACTCACAGAAAAGAACTTCCACACCAACGACATGTTATCATCAGACTGTGAGTGTGCGCGTAGTTGTGACGTAATTGCCTGCGCTGCTGCTGGAAATAAAAGCATCGGCAGACGGTCACCGATCTGGGTCGATCATACAAAAAATCGGCCGATTCCGATCACTAGCCGGTCAATCGGTGCATCTCTAGACAAAAGTATTGGAGCACCTGGCCATTAAATCCACAGGCATCAGTATGGAGTTGGTCGCCCCTTTGCAGCTATAACAGTGTCTGTGGGAATTTTTGCCCATTCATCCAGAAGAGTATTTGTGAGGTCAGGCACTGATGTTGGACGTGAAGGCCTGGCTCACAATCTCCGTTATAGTTCATTGCAAAGGTGTTTGATGGGGTTGAGGTCAGTGCTCTTTGTGGGCCAGTCAAGTTCATTCACACCAAACTCACCCAACCATGTCTTTATGGACCTTGCTTGTGTACTGGGGCACAGTCATGCTCAAACAGAAAAGGGCCTTCCCCAAACTGTTCCACACAAAGTTGGAAGCATAGAATTGTCCAAAATGTCTTGGTATGCTGAAGCATTTATAGTTCCCTTCACTGGAACTAAGGAGCTTAGCCCAACCCCTGAAAAACAACCCCATACCATTATCCCTCCTCTTTACACTTTACAGTTGGCACAATGCAATCAGACAGGTAACGTTTTCTTGGAATTCACCAAACCCAGACTCATCCATCAGACTGCCAGACAGAGAAGCGTGACTCGTCACTCCACAGAACATACTTCCACTGCTCCAGAGTCCAGTGGCGACAGGTTAATGCCAGAGGAAGTTTGGAACACTGCAGTTATTGAGTCAACAGAGCGTTGGCGACGCACTATGCTGCTCAACACTGGGAGACCCCGCTCCGTTACTTTACATGGTCTGCCAGTCGTGGCTGAGTTTCTGTTGTTCCTAAATGCTTCCACATTGCAATAATACCACTTACAGTTGATCGTGGAATATCTAGCACAGACGAAATTTCACAAACTGACTTATTGCAAAGGTGGCATCCCTATGATAGTACTATGCTGAAATTGACTGAGCTCTTCAGAACGACCCGTTCTGACTGACTGCATAGTTAGGGGTTTGAACTTATATACATGTGGCGATGGGTCTGAATGAAACGTGAAATTAACAACTTCAAAAATAAATGCTAAATATGTAAGCAGCTTAAACTTTACACACACAACACAAAGACTGGTTGTTGACAACGCTTCAAAGCATCCAGTCAAAATTCCATCAGACATACAGGCCACAAGAACCAAACAAAACTCACCGATTTTCACCTGTAACGGAGACGGCTTATAATTGATGGCTACTGATTCCCCTTCCCTCGTGTCTGAATCACCCTCTGAAACAGAAGAAGCTGAAGGGTCCTGGGAAAATAAACAAAAAACAACAAATGAATGCACAGTGGTAACTGCAGCAGTTATTACGGGAAATTTAGTGTGTGACACTGCAAATTCCTTCCAATTAAACATAGGAACGAATGCTGGTATATTCTGAATGGCACACTGGCTGGGGGTTTGAATCTTGCCTCCTCAGCATATTGAATGCGAAATGAATGGTTTACCGTACTCTAAATATTTATCCAAAGTAACATACATATTTTTGATTCATTCAGTTAAATATTTAATAAAGCAGTCCAGGTCTTATTGCATTTGCTGGAAGTAACAGTCATTTTTCTCCACCCAGAGAGAGGCAATAAAGATTGTTTGACGGCCGCTCCTGCCCTGTGCTCCCCTTTCCTGCCCAGAGGAGTGTGTACAGCGATGTGGCAAGGAGGCGTTCAGCTCACTACAGCCTGAACTCGATTTCCTTTCACACTGCACACTCCCCTGTGCTGCAGCCGAGACCAAACACCTTGACTCAGCATTCTGTTACTTAGCACCGGGGGACAATCGACTTTATATTCTTAGGTCATTTGGAAAACAGAACCGTTTGGATGGGCCTGATTCAGAATGCCACAGAAGCCTGGATTGCACAGGGCTTTGCTTGAATTAAAACAGAACCATCATTAACTTGTCCAGCGTGATAATGTTTTCAAATTATGCTCTCATACATGATTTGACGTAATAAAATTGCTACAAAAAATGCTGACTTGGTACTTCTGGCAAGACTTTCAAAGCAGAACTCCTACATGAGACACTCATGTTTCGGAAAGGGGAGTAAAATAACGCCTTTTTGCTGTACATACATTTAGACATTGTTTACATTGCTCCTTTAACATTTCTAGTCAAACTAAACTACAGTATGGCTTACCCACATAGCTCTTAAAATACAACCTTAGAAATGTCTTGTTCATGAACTGCTACAATATCTAATGCATAAAAGAAAACATGTTCACACACATAATCAAGTTTCACCAATCCCTCATAATCTGTCATTTGTCAATCATGACCTGTCACAATTAGCAACCTGCTATAATAAATGATCAATCACAACAAGCAATCAACCATAATTAAAAGCTTTAGATCAGTGAACAGCCTCGATGAACAAAATAAAATTAAAAAAAAACTATAGTGTGAAAAATACTTTTACTCAACTATATCAACTGCAGTGTGGAGTAAACTTGTACACTAGCAATGTGCATCTCTATCACTGAGGCCGATGTGATACACACCTCGATGCATTGCCAAAGATCCAATACATTAAAGATATTGTAAATATGAAGCATCCACTAATGCGACGATATGATTCACCCCTATTGTGATGCAGTGCGATTCAACAATATTATTCAATACAATATGATGCAATGCAAAAGAATATGATGCTACATTTCTTGATTGGGATCAATAAAATCCTTCTGTCCTTCCTTACTTCTGCCCATCCATTTGTCCCTCCATCCATCCATCCATCCAATGTTTATTCTTGGTATAAGTTTCAGGCAGTTTCAGACATGAGGTACTCATATGATTTGTGTATATTTACATGATTTTTTCTAGCACGTTCATTTGTCCAAGTGCAGTAGTTTTGATAAGAAATGCTCAGTTGTGCTCTACACTACCATCATTACTCATCTGTGAAAAAAACAAGTCAGATTGTCAAAATTTATCTTCAGCCCCACATGTATTCAGACAGCAGTGGGAGGCTGATTATTTGTATTTTTTGCAGAAGTCCTTGAGTGAAGCATTATCCGGGGAAAAAGGACTTTATTTCATTTCCCAACACTGCCTGAGAGCGGGGAATACATGTATCTTCAGCATGGAGGAGTGTGACATTGGGTGTTTTCACACAACACCAGCAGCGCAAGAGCAAGCTCTCTCAAGCTGAATGGTAAATTTCATAAGTTCAGTGGTCCAAGCAATCTACGAGGTTCATTCTGAGCCCAGCTATTATGTCTTGATAATATTATGCAACACCAAATGGATGCCAAATCGCATGGAAGTCGTTAATTAGTAAATAGCACCTCCATTTTATCAGCAGGAAGGTTTATCAAAAACCCTGCCACCACAAAATGCGAAAGAGCCTCTTTCCACTGACTCTTGGAAGACGGCCATGTGACCAAACAGCGGTTTGCGTGACTTTCCTTCTCCATTTCCTCTTCTTTCAAGCTCGCACGTCTACATTTCACGCCTCTGCCTTATTAGCATCCACTCATGGGTCACCAGAAAGTCAGCATGTGCAGATTTGGCTTTGAAGTGTTTCATCTCAAAGTGAATAGTCACACTTTGCCGGTACATTCTGAATGTCACTGTGGACTTGATGTGCTCGTCTGAAATTTTAGTTTGGCTCAAAGAAAATAGCCTGTAGTCTGACAAACAATAGGGAATGTAAGATTATAATTACTTATTAAAATTAATTATTGATACAGGCTAATACAGATGTTCCTGTATAGCTCTTACATTGAGTGAGAAAAACATGGGTTACGTAAAAGGGGGTTTTTTATGCTTGTTGTTATACAGAAATAGAGGAAGCATAGATGAACAGAAACAAAAGATGTTTGACAAAAACTAAAATTCACACTGTGAGGACCTGTATTAACACATTCCAATGATTTACCTGCATACATATGATTTCTATAAATCCACTTCTCTAATCAATAGCACCATGATGTCATGTGACTAGTGGTGATTAAGGAAAGCAATTTGGCAACAGATGTACTGTATGTGGAGAACATAGTAATAGTTCCCCAAATTCAGTCAGAAATGATGTGTATAGTTCAGGTGGTCCGTATCCTATAAGAATGAAGATGGGCGGGACCTATATCATTTGAAGTATAATTTCTTCAAATGATGTAAAATGTTTTATGACTTTGAATAGTTTTTTAAGATTGAGTTCAAAACAGCTGCCAGGCTTGCTCCACACCTAAAGCCCAGAGGTTTCTGTACAAAACTAAGGCCATGAGGTCCTTTCAGAAGTCTGGTAGGTAAACTATGGCACCTTTTGAGACAGCATAATCACACCAAGTCTATAAACAGTTACAGTTTTGGGAAAGCAGCCTACTATAGAGAATTAGTAAGGGACCAGAGACAATTAGATTCCGGCATTTTGTTTTAGCTTTTGCACACATAAGAATGAAGCTCCTCTTTAATACATCAGATTGTCGGGAGTCCGATTTTGCCACGATGTTGGAAACTCTGGCATGTTACAGAAACCACTGCTTTACGGCTGTTAGAAACTCTAACATTTATAACCATGGAGTCTCCAGTTAAAAGCACCTTTTCCACTCCGGCAAACACACTGCAAGGAGCAGAGAACCTGTTGCTAACCAAAGCTGACTGGTGTACAGGATCTCTTGGCTTTGAGGTCCTGACAGTGACCCAGGACTCGCATGTGCTGCCTGCCGGCACCGGAGCTGGACTGGAGACCGTCATGGGAGGAGGGATAACTGCCTGATCTAAGCTGGCTGTATGCTCCCATTGAGCCATATCTAAAAAATCCCTCAATATGCTTAATTTCCACTAAGGTACTGTACTAATGTGCTCCTCCAATGCGCGAATCCTGACCTCCAACTCTACTATGACTAAACATTTCTGGCAGACACTGCTGTCAGGAATGTTGGAAGGACAGTTTACGCTGTACATGGCACAGGAACTACAAAACACGGGCGCAGAAGACAATCAGAACTTTCCCGTTTAATCACGACTTTCCCTTTTAATCACGAGTGGTTGTCGGAGGTCGTTGGTGCCCAGGGGGTGTTGGTTAACCTGCCCAAGTTGGGAGATTAACTAGTACAAGATTATTGTCCATCAGCCTTTATATTTCAACTTCTCAGGTTTTCCTTCCAATTATCTTATTATAATTTGTATTACTGCGATATATAGAGTTTGAAAGTTTTATATTAATCATATTTTTTGTCAAAATATTTATATTGTACTTATTTCTCATTTGTACTATGACTAATATTTTCCGTGACATAACAATAATAACTGTAACAGATACACTGATGATACAGACGGAGCCCTGGGGGGGGGGGGGCACAGATAGTATTTTTTTATTTTTATTTTTTTTGTGGGCACGATGTATTACATTATGCGCACAGTTTAATGTTCCCAAGACCTACCAGATAAAGCTCACATAAGCCCTAAAATGTGCATGCTTTTTACTTTTTCATGCTCTCAATTTGCAACTTTGAGCTCTTTAATTCATTTTCAGTTTAATTAAATTTAACGTTTTTGTTATTGATGTTCTTGTCTAAAGAAAACATGACCGCTAATGTAGTAAATTTATTTTAAAATAATGCAATGTCTCCCGATTCAACTTATTCTGGAAGACATGGCACTTGTCCAAACCCAGTTTCAACCAGGGAGTACAGATTATATGGGTAGAGCTGAGGATGGGGTTGTGCGGGGAACACAATGATGTCGTTCCCACAGCCCCCTTACCAGAATGGAGTATAGCCATAAATTAATGCATTTTAAAGCTGCCCTGTCATTTCACATTACTAATGTGCACAAAATCGATCAACCAAGCAATTCATATACATGAAGATACATGGAAAACTATAAATACTATCTGCTGGGACAGTATTCCGGCCCCAGAGTATTGTGGGCTATCTTGCTTGATACAAATCAAACCTACTTGAAGCTGACAGTCAGACATGGCGGAAAAACAATAACAACAGATGGGCTTCATTCAAACGACAGCAACGGACGGCCAGTAATGGATGGGGTTAATTTAAAACAACAACAATTACTGATATTAATTGTAAGTATTGCTGCTGGGTTGGTTGTGATCACCAGTTGATTTATTTTTCTCAATCCAAAGTTCATTACTTCATGTATCATCAATTTCATGTAACAGGCTGTCACCATTCCTTTAAAAAAGCACACTGACATACAATCTATAAATGTAACAGATGACGCTATGACTCCCAAAAAAGTCACAAGGAGAAACTTACTGAAGATAAAGTATGAGACTGCTGTTCCTGAGG